GGAAGAGATAAATCCACAGTTATAATTGAACACTTTAACATTCTCCTCTCAGCAACTGATAAAACTATTAGACCTAAAACCAGCAAGAATATAAAAAATCTGAATACGATAAACCAACAGGATCTAAATGACACATATAGAACATTCTACCTAACCACATAGGAATACACATTTTAATCAAGTGCCCATGAAACACTCATGAAGATAGACAACCCCTTTCAGCAATGAAACAAGCCTGAAGAAATGTATAAGAATCTAAATCATATAGAGTGTTCTGTGACCATAATGGAATCAAATTAGAGGTCAGTAATAGGAGAATATCTGTCTATTGAAAATTAAACCTGCTTCTAAATAATCCATGGCTTAAAAATTCTCAGAAAAAGAAATTTAATGGAAATGAAAATACGACATAACAAAATACAAGGAATGCAGCTGAAGCAATGTTGAGAAATTTAGCGTGTTAAAATGTTACATTTGAAAAGGGAAAGATTTCATATAATAGAGAATGAAAAGCAAACTAAGCCCAAAGTAAACAGAAAATGAAAATAATAAATTTAAGAGTAGAAATAAATGAAATTAAAGAGAGAAAAATCACTGAAATGGAAAGCTACTTATATGAAAAATCAATAAGCTTGATAAACTAGCAGGACTGATAAAGATAGAAAGTAGATAAAAATTACCTATTTAATAATGTAATGGTGGATATCACTGTAGACCCTATAGATATTACAGGGATGATAAGAGCTTACTATGAACAATTTTACAGACATAAATTTAACAATTAGTATGAAATGGCCCAATATCTTAAAAACACAACCAACTGCAACTTACTCAATACACAATTAATGTTTAATAGACCAATAACTAGTAAGGACATTGAATTTAGAATTGTGAAACTTCCAAAAAAGAAATCTTTAGGCCAAGATGGAAGTTTAACTGGAAAATTCCAAACTGGAGAATTATTTTAAACAAATCTAAGAAGAGTTAACACCAATTATATCTAATCTTTTCCAGAAAATGGAAGAGGGAACACTTTCCATTTCATTTTATGAAGCTAGTATTACACCGATACCAAAACTAGGCAGAGAAAGTACAAAAACAAGAAAACTGTAGACTTAACGTCTCTAACCTTAGACACAAAAAATTCTCAAGAAAATATTAGCAAATTGAACCAAATAATGTGTAAAAACAATTATATAGTATAAGCAGGTGGTATTTATTCCAGGTATATGATGTTGATTGAACATTTGAAAGTAAGAGTCCAAGAGTTCATTCTTTTTCATGTTAATTCAGATTTCTCAGCATTATTTTTTGAGAAGACTGTCTATCCCTTTGGAATGTTCTTGACATCCTTGTCAAAAAATCGTATGATCCTATATGTGGGAGTGTAGTCTGTAGTCTGTACCACTACCACACTGTTTTGATTACTGTAGCTTTGTGTAAGTTTTAAAATGAGTAAGTGTGACTTGTAACTTTGTTCTTCTTTTTCAAGATTGTTTTTGCTATTTAAGGTCCCTTGAAATTCCATGTAAGTTTTAGAATGAAATTTTTTGTCTGCAAAAATGCCATTGGGATATTGATAAGGATTGGATTAAATCTACCTTGAGTAGTATTAATATTTTAATGTTATTAAGTCTCCTAATCCATGAACACTGGATGTCTTTTACTTTTATCATCTTCAATTTCTTTTGGCAATATAGTTTTTTCAGTAGTAAGTCTTTAGCCTCTTTGATTAGGTTTATTCCTAAATACTGTATTCTTTTTGATGGTTTTTTAAATGGTATCATTTTAAGTGGTTTTTTTTTTCAGATTGGTCATTGTTTATTTTGAGAAATGCAGTCAACCTTTGCATGTTTTTCCCCCCTCTATTGTTATTTTTAATTTTTTCTTAGTTTTATTGAGATATAATTTGCATGCGTCACTATATAAACTTAAGGTGTGCAGCATAATGGTTTTACTTACATATCTAGTTGATCCTTGAATAACGTGGGAGCGAGGGGTGCTGACCCTGTCCACAGTAGAAATCCACGTATATACCTTTTGACTCCCCAGCAACTTAATTCTAATAGCCAACTGTTGATCAGAAGACTTACCGATAACATGGAGAGTTGATTAACACACATTTTGTGTGACATGTGTTAGGTACCATTCTTGCAATAAATAAGCTAGAGAAAAGAGAATGTTATTAGGAAAATCATGAGGAAGAGAAAATACATTTACAGTATTGTACTGTGAAAAATCTGCTTATAACTGGGCCCACACAGTTCAAACCTGTGTTTTTCAAGGGTCAGCTGCATTGTTAAATGATTACTGCCATTAGTTTAGTTAGCGTCCATCATCATATAGATAAAATAGAAAAAGCAAAACATGAGAAAGAATTTTTTTCCTTGTGATGAGAACTCTTAGGGTTTACTCTCTTAACACCATTCCTGTATGTCTTAAGGTGGTATTAACTATAGTCATCATGTTGTACCTTCTGTCTGTAGTACTTATTTATCTTGTAACTGGAAGTTGTATTTTTTAGCCACCTTTCTCCAGTACCCTCCCCACCACCACCTCACCTGTGGTAACCATAAATTTGGTCTCTTCATGAATTTGTGGGGTTTCTTCTCCTTTTAGACTCCACATGTAGATGAGGTCATACATTATTTGCCTTTCTCTGACTTACTTCACGTAGTATAATGCCTTCAGGGTCCACCCTTGTTGTAAATGGCAGGATTTCCTCATTTTTTACAGCTGAATAATATTCTGTTGTATATATTTACCACAACTTCTTCATCTGTTCGTCTGTCATTGGACATTTAGGTTGTTTCTATGTCTTAGTTATTGTAAATAATCTGCTATGAACATAGGTAGCAGATATCTTTTCAAGTTAGTGTTTTTGTTTTCTTTGGGTAAATGCCCAGGAATTGCTGGATCCTAGGGTAGGTCTATTTTTTGAGGAACTAAATGCTGTTTTCCGTAGTGGTTAGGCCAGTTACATTTCCACCACCAGTATACAGGGGTTCCTTTTCTCTATGTCTTTATCAGCATTTGTTACTTGTCTTTTTGATCATGACCATCCTAACAGGAGTGAGGTGATACCTCATGTGGTTTTTAAAATTTTTGTTTAATGTTCATTTATTTTTGAGAGAGTGCACATGCGTGTGCATGGGGTAGGGGCAGAGAGAGGGGGAGACAGAGGATTCAAAGTGGGCTTCGTGCTGACAGAAGAGAGCCCGACATGGGGCTCGAACCCTCTAACCAGGAGATCATGACCTGAGCCGAAGTCAGATACGTAACTGACTGAACCATCCAGGCACCCCTCTCTCATTGTGGTTTTGATTTGCATACCTCTACTCACTAGTGGTATTGAGCATCTTTTCATGTACCTGTTGGCCATTTATACATCTTTTAAGAAAAGTGTCTATTCAGATCCTTTGCACCATTTCTAATTGTATTATTTGTTTTCCAGCTATTCAGTTGTACGTTTATACGTTTGAGGTGTTAATCCCTTTTTATATTTATGGTTTGGAAATATTTTTTTCCCATTCTGTAGGGTGTCTTTTTACTTTCTGATTGTTTCCTTTGGTTTACAGAAGCCTTTTAATTTGATATAATCCCTCTTACTATTTTGTTGCTTGTTAAGGTGTCATATTCAAAAAGCCCTTGGGGCGCCTGGGTGGCTCAGTCGGTTGAGCGTCTGACTTCGGCTCAGGTCATGATCTCGCAGTCTGTGGGTTCGAGCCCCGCGTTGGGCTCTGTGCTAACAGCCCGGAGCCTGGAGCCTACTTCAGATTCTGTGTCTCCCTCTCTCTGCCCCTCCCCCACTCGTGCCCTGTCTCTCTCTCTCTCTGTCAAACATAAATAAACATTAAAAAAAAATTAAAAAAAAAAAAAGCCTTTGCCAATACCCATGTCAATACCATGTTTATTTCTAGGAGTTTCATGTTTTCAGGTCTTACTTACATTCAAGTCTTAAATCCATTTTGAGTTAATTATTGTTAAGTGGTGTAAGGTAGGGGGTATGTTGATTTTTGAATGCTGCAACTTTGCTGAATTTATTTATTTCTGACAGGTTTTTTGTGGCATCTTTAGAATTTTCTGCCTGTAAGATCATGTCATCTGCAAACAAAAATAACTTCCTTTCTTTCTAAATTGAATGCCTTTTGTTTCTGTGTCTTGCCTAGTTGCTCTGGATACGAATTTCAGTACTGTGTAAATAGATACAATAAAAATGGGCATCCTTGTCCTGTTTCTGATCTTGGAGGAAAGGTTTCTGTCTTTTGCCCTTGAGTGCATTGTGAATTCTGGGCTTTCCATACATTGCCTTTATTATGTTGCGTTTATTATGTATGATTTCATTCTATTCCTAGTTCATTGAATGTTTTTATCATGAAATAATGTTGAATTTTTTCAAATGTTTTTTTCTGCATCAACTGAGATGATCATGTTGTTTTCATCCTTATTTTTTGTTAATGTATATTACATTGATTGATTGTCTTATGTTAAACTATCCTTGCATTCCAGAAATAAACCATCCCCTGCCCCCGCCCCGTGGTCACGGTGTGTATACTTTTTAATGTATTGTTGAATTCTGTTTGCTGTGTTTTGTTGATGTTCTCATTTCCTTTTCTACTTAGATAATTGAAGGCACACAGTTGCCTTTCATAATGAAGACGTGCTACAGTATATAGTATTATTTACTCTGTCTTTACTACTAAGGAAAATATGTTCAGTGGAATGTGATAATATATCTTTCAATAATCATTCATACATACCAATATTCTGTTGCACATGCCTCACATTAATCACAACATATAGTCATATGCTACCTGGATTCCACACTATGTTTTTCAATCATGGTTGCACCTTTAGCTCCCTAGGAGTTTCTTTAATATATATGTGTATTCTTTTAATAATTCTTTAAATATATATATTTAAAACTAACAGTGCCAGAGCCACATTCCTAAATTCTTCAGAAGGAGACTAAGTGTCAGTAGTTTTTAAAAGGTCTCCAGGTGCAGACGTGGTTGAGAAACCTGTTTTAGATGATTCTGACTACATATTAGAGCTACTATGGAAAATGGAAAACTATAGCAAAGTTGAATCAGAAACTCTAGGGAAGAAGTTCTGGCAATCTGTTTTTGAAAAGTCTCAATTTTTCTAAAGCACGTTTACGGTTTTGACCACTAGTTCACAATTTTCTCAGCCACAGAAAAGGACAGTTAGCAAACTGTTTTAATTAAGGTCATTTACAGGGACTTCTTATGTAAAGCTTTTTATATTATGGACTCAAAAGAGATCCATATGTTTAATATATCAGGTAATAATAGCTAAGGTGTTCTCTTCTGACCATTAAGGAAATTGCTGTCGATACCTAGGTAGGAATATATCTCTGCTGCATGGGGTGCAATAATATGAGTAGGCAGGACCAAATTTTTTCTTAGGCAAGGGTGCTCATATGCCCAAACAGATATTCTTTTTTTTAAGCCCCAACATTTAGCGTAAAGCATGGCGGAGGTAACCTCAGTTTGGTGTATTCATAGGGCAAAAATAACGAGTTATTCACATATATTACAATAGATCCTTCAAATACAGTATAAGTGTATTCGTCTACTAGGGCTGCCATAAGAACATATCATGGACTGGGTGGTTTAAACAACAGAAATTTATTTTCTTACAGTTTTGAGGGCTGGAAGTCCAAGGCAGGTTTGGTTTCTCCCGAGGCCTCTCTCCTTGGCTTTAGATGGCCATTTTCTTGCTGTGTCCTTACATGGCGTTTTCTCTGTGTGCATACATCCTTGTTGTCTCTCTGTATGTCCTAATCCCTCCTTTTAAGGACACCAGTCAACTTGGATTAAGACTTACCCTAACTGCCTCATTTTAGTTACCTGTTTAAAGGCCTTGTCTCTAAATATAGTCAGAATCTGAATACTTGGGGTTAGGGCTTCAGTATATGATGGGGGTGAGGGCACAGTTCATTCTGTAACATTAAGTGGGTTCAAGATGTTCTGTGTAACTGAATGAATTAGTGAGTTGAATGAAATTATTTGGAATTGTTTTTTGCAGTCAACATTTTACCATATCCTTAGAGTGCAATACCAACCAAGTCCAATAAACAACTTTTGGTTTACTGTGGCAGGTAGGTATGCACCTTTGCCATCTGAAGGTATTTTAAAGTACTTAGAAAAACTGTCATAAATCTGGGAGGATATTGTAGCCTTACTTTATATCATTTATGATATGAATTTGAAAAATTCATTATGACCCATTTTAATTACTGTGATATTAATAATTAACAGTATAGAAACAGTAAAAGTGTGTTCTTTTGTTGTTTAAAGCACCTGAAAGCTAATGATATAATGATAAATGTTGCAAAGATTTATATTACTCTTACTTTCCAATTAGTGGAAATATTAAATAAGTTTTTATCTTTTGTGTACACACTGATGGCTAGGGAGAGGCAGTTACCCAGAAATAAGAAGTGTGTCTGGATAAAACAGTTAACGTTAATAAAAAAGAAAGTTTGCTTTGTTGAATTCCCATAATAATTGCAGGCTTTATTATTCACTTATAGTTAGCCTGCTTTGTCTGTGTCCCTTCATTTAGGTATTCAAGCACCTTCTAGTTGCTTAAAACACAGTATATACAGCAAAAACATGGTTCCTATTCATTGGGAGAAATACGTTTTTCAAAAATTATATCAAATATTTGAAAGACAGAGCTCTGAAAGAAACAAAAGCATATGACAGAGGAACTTGACACAGAGTTTTCAAGGAGGGCTTCCCAGAGTAAGTGACATTTAGAGCTGTGATCTGAAGGAAGCTTAGGAGTTAAGGTTAGCTAATTTATGTGATGGAGGGGAACAGAGGATTCCAGACCAAAAGAACTGCATGTGCAGAGTCCCTGTGATGAGAAGGAACACAATGGGGAATTTGAGAGAGGGCCAGAGTAGTTGAATTCCCTGAGAACTGTGAGGAGTAAAGAGATGGGAAGGTAGGCAGGGCCCAGCAAAAAGCCTTTTCAGGGGCGCCTGGGTGGCTCAGTCGGTTGAGCGTCCGACTTCGGCTCAGGTCATGATCTCACGGTTCGTGAGTTCGAGCCCCGCGTCGGGCTCTGTACTGGCAGCTCAGACCCTGGAGCCTGCTTCAGATTCTATGTCTCCCTCTCTCTCTGCTCCTCCCTAGCTCATGCTCTGTCTCTCTCTCCTTCAAAAATAAATAAAAACATTAAAAAAAAAAAAAAGCCTTTTCAGCTGTGATAAAGATTTGGGACTTTGTCCTGAAATAGAGGAAAATGTTGTGTTACATAGAGGAGGGTAAGCTTGAAAAGGTCACTCTGCCTCTAGGCATGAAGAAGTGATTAGAAAGAAACCAACAGATCCAATGAGAAAGCAGATGGATTAATTTTTAAAAATTATTTCTGCTTATGATCATACACAAAAAAGCAGTCACACTGGTACTGTATTAGGTGCTAGAGGTGCATCAGTGAACGAAACTTTAGTCTCTGCTCTCAAGCTTACTTTGTGGTAGGGGAGAGGAAACAGATAATCATATAACTATATAATCTGTCAGCTACTAATAAGTAATGTGAAGACAAATAAGACCAGAGAGGGGGATGAAGAGTGACTAAGGGTGCTGTTTTATTTAGGAACTGAGAAGATCACTGGAACTGAAGAATCTGTGGAGGAAGAACTCCAGGCAGAAAACATTAAATACAAAGTATGTGGGGCCTGGTCAAGAAATAGCAAGGAGGCCAGCATGGCTGGGGTACAGTGATAAGAAGAGTGTTAGGAGATGAGGCCTAGGACTGTGTACATTCTAATTGGGTTGTACGTTAACCAAATGACACTACTAATATCAAAGTGTGTGTGTGTGTGTGCGTGCGCACGCGCGCGCGCGTGTGTATAGCTTTCTACTAAAATTTAGCCATTTATTTTGCTGGTAATAGTTTACCAAAGTAAAATAGTATTATTAGGTTCTGGAACCATTTCCAGTATATGGAGGGTTGATTTCTATGCACACCACCATGCAGTTCTCCAGATATCAGCTTCGTGTCCTACAATTCAGCTCATTCTGGGGCGCCTGGGTGGTTCAGTTGGTTAAGCATTAGATAGACTTGATTTCAGCTCAGGTCATGCATGACCTCATGGTTTGCGAGATAGGGCCCTGTGTCAGGCTCTGCACTGACAGCATGGAGCATGCTTGGCAATTCTTTCTCTCCTTCTGCCCCTCCCCTGCCTGCTCACGTGTGCTCTCTCTCTCTTTCTCTTTCTCTCCCACCTTCTCTCTCTCTCTCTAAAAAATAATAAACATTAAAAAAACAATTCAGCTCAATTCTGATACTATTTCACAGGTTAATGTTACAGCTCTCTAAGACTCCCCCCACCCCTAAACTTCAGATGCCAGTTGCAAGCCCAGGTTGTGGTCTGCTTCTGATCAACTGGTTACCAGTTAGAGGTTCCCATGACCCTCTTCTTGAATTTAGGATGCAAGTTACAAGTCTGGGTTGTTACTTTATTACTTGTACTTCAAACCTACTGGCTCTAAATCACAAGTTCCCATGATCCCCTCTTTGGGGTTGATTAATTTGCTAGAGCAGCTCACAGAACTCAGGAAACCAGTTTACTTACTAGATTTCCGGTTTATTATAAAAGGATATAACTCAGGAAGAAGTGTGCAGTTTCCATTGTCCTCTCCTGGCACACCACCCTCGCAGCACATCCCTGTGTTCACGAACCCACAAACTCTCTGAGCCCCATCCTTTTGAGGTTTTATGACAGCTTCATTATATTTACAGGATTCATTAAATTATCAGCAATTGATCTAACCTCTAACCCTTCTCCCCTCCAGAGGTCAGGTAGGTGGGACACATGGTTAGCATGGCTACCTCTGGCAAGCAGTCCCCAGTCTTAGGTGATTTCCAAAAGTCACCTCATTAACATAACAAAAGAATTTTTTTATAACTCCTTATACTTAGGAAATTCCTAAGGGTTTTAGGAGTGCCAGAAACTGGGAGGAAGACCAAATGTTTCTCATATATCACAATATCACAAGTATTCATCATTTAATAATTCCTAAGAGCTATTTTTCTTCTTTTTATTTTATTTTATTTTTTTTAATTTTTTTTTCAACGTTTATTTATTTATTTGGGACAGAGAGAGACAGAGCATGAACGGGGGAGGGGCAGAGAGAGAGGGAGACACAGAATTGGAAACAGGCTCCAGGCTCTGAGCCATCAGCCCAGAGCCTGACGCGGGGCTCGAACTCACGGACCGCGAGATCGTGACCTGGCTGAAGTCGGACGCTTAACCGACTGCGCCACCCAGGCGCCCCTTTTCTTCTTTTTAAATAAGACAAATAGTCATCAAAAATATTCAAATACAAAGGGTTAGTGTTACTGCTCTCCCAATCCCTAGTTCATTTTTGAAGTCCTAATCCCCATCACCGCAGAGTAGGACCTGAGGTAGGTATCTCGGAATACCTCAGAGTAAACCTTATTTGGTGATAGGGTATTTACAGGGGGAATCAAGTTAAAGGTAGGTCACTAAGGAGGATGGCGCAAATCCACTTATAACTGATGTCCTTATTTAAAAAGGGATATTTGGATGCAGACATGCATATAGAGGAAGACAGTTTGAAGAGACATAGGAAGATGATCCACAAGCCAAGGAGAGGCCTGAAACAGATCATTTACTACTCTCCTTACTGTCTCCCTGTCTTTAATGAGGGTAATACTGTTGTAAAACTCAGGTGCCTCCCCTGCATGTGTTTCACTAATTTCTAAAGCAATGTAAGTCTTTTTAAGAAAATGACTAAAGGGGGCGCCTGGGTGGCACAGTCGTTAAGCGTCCGACTTCAGCCAGGTCACGATCTCGTGGTTCGTAAGTTCGAGCCCCGCGTCGGGCTCTGGGCTGATGGCTCAGAGCCTGGAGCCTGTTTCCGATTCTGTGTCTCCCTCCCTCTCTGCCCCTCCCCCATTCATGCTCTGTCTCTCTCTGTCCCAAAAATAAATAAACATTGAAAAAAA